CCTGCCTCCCATCCAGCAAGTCATTTGGTGACACAAACTTTAAAGTTGAGCAAATTAGACAGCTAGAGTGACAAAAGTCATGCCAGATCTGAAACAAGAAATGAAGCCAATAAAGCATTTAATTTGTTTGCTCAAACAAGTCATCCTGTCCATAAAAAAGTTTTTGCGTTCTGCTCCATAAACTCTAGTCAGTAAAGAAGAAAAAAATTACGGTTGTCAGCAATATGAGCTTTCAGTGGGGGTGCTTATTAAAGATAAACCGTGTGTGGCTCGGTTGGTTCCAAGAACCAACAGGACCGTCTTACTTGGGATGCCGTTTTTCGTTGAGCAGCGGTTTCTGTTTGCTGTGTTCACAGAGAAGAGGTTCCTTATTCTGCTGCTGAGGTAATGATTAAAGTTGAAGGCCAGTGTTACTACAAACATAACTATGTCCTGTGGTTCTGTAATTCAATACAATCCATGGCTTTCAGATGGGGAGTTACCCCAAGAGTTTTTTTTTTAGTAACCTGTCCTGAGTTTAATGACACTTTCAATGATTAGCAGACATCAGTGATCCAGGCTTGTCACTAGTTGAATGTCTTGGTACTCCGCAGTCCCATATCTGTCCTAAATACCAAATGCTCTCATCAATGTTTTCCAATTGCTTTGAACACATCCTAGGATACCGTCCAGTCTAATTCCAGTCCGTATTTCAACTCCAGAGGGGGAAAAAAATGGTCATAAACACGCCAGATTAGGTCAGCGCTGGTTTCGTAACCATTCCATGACCTCTCTCGTTAGATTTTTCTTTCCCTTCTGTTTTTCTTTCTCTCTCCTTCCTGCGCCCCTCTCTGGTCTCTCTTCCCTTCCTACTGTTGCTCCTCTCCACTGTGTGCAGCTCAATCTGTCTTCTGTTTGGCTTTGCTCTCCCTTTCAATCTTCCCCAATCCACAGCTCTCTGTTTAGGCGCTCTATCTTTACCATCTTTCACCCAATTTATAAGGTCCCACTGCTGAAGCTCTAAACTTCACAAGTCCTGATTCATTGTAGTTTCCTTTTTTTCTTTTCCCAGCTCTTTCTTTTTGTTCTGTCCTCCTCCTGCTCCCACTGAATTTATTTTCATTTTTCTACATTCAAGTCACCACCTTTCTGGTGGCTGATGGCTTCACATGGCTCAGTGCACTGAGAGGTAAGGCTGACGATTGGCATCTTTGTCATTAAGTTAAAAAGAAATGAGATATTCTCTGAACATTCTGCACATGATCTTTGATTTAGGAGATCATTATTCATCAAAATCATATCTATGCCACTACAACAAAGACGCCAGTCTACTACAATATTACCAAGTCAAAAACATTATGAACATGAGTTTATTATGCACAAATGGTTGTCTTCCCGGCTGCACAGTGGCGCAGTTGGTAGAGCTGTTGCCGTGCAGCAAGAAGGTTCTGGGTTCGATTCCCGGCCCCGGTCTTTCTGCATGGAGTTTGCATGTTCTCCCTGTGCATGCGTGGGTTTTCTCCGGGTACTCCAGTTTCCTCCCACAGTCCAAAAAACATGACTGTTAGGTTAATTGGTCTGTCTAAATTGCCCCTAGGTGTGTGTGCGCATGGTTGTGTATCTGTGTTGCCCTGCGACAGACTGGCGACCTGTCCAGGATGTACCCCGCCTCTCGCCCAGAACGTTAGCTGGAGATAGGCACCAGCACCCCTCCCGACCCCACTGAGGGACAAGGGTGTCCAGAAAATGGATGGATGGTTGTCTTCCCAAAAATACATGCATAGATTTTAACTCTGCTCAAAAATGTTTTAGATTCAAATCAGTTTGGCTCTAAATTGTAGAAAATTGAATGTGTATGAAAACAAACAAGCTATTTTAAAAAAAAATCGTTTCACAAATATGTATTGTTTCTCAGTGGACTAGTCAAAAACAAATTTCAGGTTCCACCAATTAAATCAGTTTGTTCAGTTCCTGAAGCAGCAACGCAGTATCAGAACATCGCATTATCACCACCACTGAAGGGCCTGACGTTCTTCTTACGAAATGTACATTTTACTGCAGATGTAAAGAAACAAACGCCTCAAAAGTAGGTCCAGTTATTGTCAAACTAGTCATCAGAATATTTTTGACAATTGTGTAGTAGCAGGTCTTTAGTTTCTTCCATGTCCATAGTGGTTTTTCTTCCCACAGACCCTGTTTCTGTGTTTCTTTCTTATTGGTAAATCATGACCACTGGCCTCATCTGAAGGAAGCGTGGCCTTCAGACAAGGTCAAATGTTGCTTTGGGTTCTTTTGTGTCTCATTGAAAAGCCGCCCTTGAAGTGATTTTGGTAGCGTGGTCTCTCCTGGTAAGGTTTATGTTTTTAATTTTTCTCCCTTTGAGGATTATGTCTCGTACTTTGTTTCACCGGCATCCCAAAGCTTTGAAATTGACCTTACGACGTTTTCCGTACAGATAGATGTCAGGGATCTTGTTTCTGGTCAGGTCCTGAATTTCTATCAGTTGGGAGATGTTTTTGTCCACTTCACATCACCAGTCTGGTTCTACTTAAGTTATGATTCTACATGTCTGGTTTTAAATGGTGCCTATAGAAAAGTAACTTAATTTATTATTATTTATTTATTTACTTCACATAAGGCCAGGTTGGTTGGAAACTATTTTAACCAAATACATAAAACCATTTCAAATTTCTGTTTCTCAATCACAAAAATGTGTTTCATGGTGTCAAACATGATATATATATATATATATATATATACACCACCAAGTTCACCCATATTTCAGAAGCAGAAGTTTAGGGGGATTGAAAACCAAATTAAATCTCATATTTACACCAGATCATGACGTAAAAAGCAAAAAATGTTACACTCGATCATAAATCTAAAAACTGAAAAATGCTTGTTTACATGTGTCAGATGGAAAAATAAAATAAAATATGCAACACTACAAAAATGCACATTGTGTATTTCAATGAGAAAATTGTGAAATTTCATAATCCAGACATACGGACTATAGTTCTTCTTCTGGGACAAATGTTTTTGCAGAAATCTTGTGATTACATTTTGTAATGCCCATCGTAATGATTTAGTAGCAGTGAAATTCACTGATTGGAGCTTTTCAGAAAAACATAATGCAACTCAGTTTAAAACAAACAGCGCGGCTGTTGGGCGTGTTTGTAGCTAAATATTCTGTAATCTCTTGTGGTAATTTAATTAGCCAGGAAAGAATGTGATTAATCAAATCAATTAGATTGCACGAGGAAACATAAATCATGTTGCCCCAGTCTCATTATCAACCTCAGGGTGGACATGTGAAGAGAGAGTGTGCGTCTGCATGCAAACATGTGCGTGTGTCTGTGTTGCAACGTGTCCAAGTGTGACGGTGAGAAAATGTGGCTTTACCCTTCAGCAGCAACCATTTTACTCTCTGTGTTTGTGAGTGTGTGTGTGCTGCTAGTGTACACTAGAGAGTAGTTGGAGAGGAGAAAGAGGGGGATAAGCGTTTGCAGGCTGCAATTATGGGTAATTTTTCCAACAGCAGCAAAATTAAAGCCCCTCAAAACAAAACAAAGAGGGCAAATTTACTCCCTGGACTAGTATGTCACTGATGCTCTTGGAGAGGAAGCGAGCACGCAGCTCCAGCCAACATGTGTCACGTATGAACTGATGTATGACTGTCATCATGTTGTGGAGCTGGTTTGGATCACGAACAAAGCTTCCTCGTATGTTTCCTGCAGACAGAGAAGAAAAGGACTTGGTGTTTTGGTTGCTATGCTACCACACAGTCTGACCACATGCGTACAAATGTTCACGTCCGCATCTCCTGGTTATTATTCATATCTGCGGCATGTTACCAGACACTTCAGCGACATGTCGTGGACTTGCATATTTGAGTACAGTTTTCTTTTCTCAAACACAAGTGGGTTTCTAAATTGATCCACTTCAGGACGTCAGGCACAAAATTGTGCACCAGTCTTAATCTTTAGCAAGTGATATGAGATTCCAATAAAGCAGGCTTATCAGGGTTTCCTCCAGAAAACTTTCCAAGCCCGGTGGTTGGAGCACTAAGGCAGTCATTCATTCAGCCATGCTTTTGAGTTAAAACATGTTTAAAGTTGACAGGAAATTTGAGAATATCAATTGATAATTATGTGTTATTGGAAGATTAAAGCTTGAATATTGACTAGAAAGTCTTAAAAAAATGCAAACATGAAAAAAAAACTTAAATAAATAAGCAATACCTTGTGGGGGCACAAGTAAAGCCTGGTGGCCCGCCAGGCTTATAATTCACTGAAGGAAATCCTGGGCTTATGCAACATCTATGAGTGTTTTATGCATTTTGGAGTGTTTAAACATTTTCTGTCCCAATACTCTATACGGCCACTTTTTTAGGTATAATGATTCAATTACTTGTCTGCACAGATAGTAATTCGGGGAATCACATCACAACAGATAAATGCTTACAGAGCTGAAGTTAAGATGTTCAAGGTGGCACAAAAATACTCACATGCAGGACAAAGAGGGAGATGTTACAACTAAACGACATTTATAACAGCTTTGTTCTCCACTATCAACAAAAAATGAAGATAAAGTCTAATAATTTCACACAAATCTTAAATGTTGGATGAAAATTAACATTCTTCACATTTTTATCAGCTTTCTGCATAACAAAAAACAGTAGGAAAGTACAAATGCACATTTTTAATAAGTATATTAATAAATAAATATAGAACATCTTTAAATAAAGGTTTTTAGTCTCTACATCTAATAATTTAAGTTGCAGTTCAGTATATTTATATAGTACTGTCTCCATGGAAAAAGCAATCTTGTAAATACTTTAGCTTTCAAACTGGTGACACTAAATTATAACGAGACCATTTCTTTTTCTTTTTGTTCTATGTTGTTTAGCTCATTTAATAATAACCTTAAATTAGAAGCTCAAACTCTCTGAGCAAATTTAATAGCTGCCTCATTCTTCATGAACTTGTTGAAATCTAGTTCTATGTGAGAAGTCAGGGTCTCTTTGGAGCCCTCTACTGGCTTGGAGGCTCTAAGCAGTAGCTAAGTTTGGTTTGCTTGGACCCGCTCAGGTTTCAAATGCTTCAAAAACATCTCATCTGTGCTTGAACCCATTTCAAAGCAACTGTCTGTAAATTGATTTTATGTTTATTCAAAGCACTCATGAAAAAACACAAATTACAGATCAGCGTTTTTTTTTTTTTTATCTCTCTGCAAACAGAGGTGCTGGCAACTTTTTCAATAGATATAAGGCAACCTTCAGTCACATAGCCAGAATCAGCCTCTGACCTTCTTCTCTTCCCGTCTATGAAAACAGATGACATTAGGTTGGTGGAGGCTTTACTGTGACGCTGTCATTAAACTCCACCTTTCACCCTGCGGGGGCTCACACTGTGATTTACCTCTTTGGGAACGTACAGTAGGAGGATAATATCTCCATACACTGATAAATCTCTCTTCCTGCCTTTTCTCCTGTCATCACATCTCTTTTCCTCTTGTCAGGCTGAACCTGGCTGATCTGTTCAATCACCCAAGAGCGCCGAGGCAGGAGCCCGTAAAGGTGATTCACTCCATTTCAGCCCTTCATACAACGTCTCTCCCGCCCCTCTGTGTTTAACTCCCTTCAGTCAGCTGTTGTTAACCTAACTCCGCCGCACCATATTAAAACAAAGGCCACGAAAATCCTTTTTTTTTCTCTTTTTCTTTTTCATGTAGTATGAAAAAAGCGAGGTTTATGGAACGCACAGACACTCCAATCTATTTTCTTCGGAAAACACTTTTGTTGTGCAAGTGTCACTTAAACGAGCTTTTTCTGGTTCTGCTCTCCTAAACTTTCCTGTAAGTTTTGTGACATTTTGACACATTTGACAGTTTGAACCGCTGCAGACTGCTAACAGGCTCACTGTGTCTGCTATCAGTGTCTTGTTTGCAGCCAAGTGACTGGCATCACGCAGGCAGGTGCCCGTGCCTTCTAAACTTTTGCACACTTTTGTTACTGCTACAAGTACTATAAAGAGTTTAGTCTGCAGGAAACAGAACCTGATGTGTAGATGGATCAGCTTTCCTTTTCACATGACCAAACTGAGTTCTTGATTTGGACAAAAAGAAATAGTCTTTGTCAGAAAAAACATAGTAAACAATTACCCTTGGTCCCTTCAGGTTCAAGCACTGACCTGTGAAGGCGGGGAAGTGACTGTTGTCTTATTGTATCACGTCATGTCTCCTCATCTTCATTCAGTGTCGCCAGAGAATGCAGGAGAGCTGGGCAATTATTTCTGATGTATCTAGTTGGACAAATCTGGGCATCCTGAGCAGAGCTCCGGAGTCTAGTGGAGGTTTGTGTCCTCATAATTGATGCGCTCCATTCTGCTGCCTCAGTTCAAGCTTTTCCACGATGTCCAGTTTAGTCTTGTCGTCTGTGCCGCGTGACAATTTTTTTTTAGAAGATTTTCAGTCATGCAAATTAGATCATGGTCATTAAAGGTGACAATGTGCCCAGACCTTTGTCCTAAAATGAGACACAACTGTTTATCCCACATTGGGCGTATGATAAGGTAACCTAAAGCATAAAATAGTAAAGTGAATTAGTGAGTTGTTTACCAAATGTTTAGTCAGATACCAGATCACTGGGCTATGTAAAGTTAGCACTGGCTAGAACACACCTCTACGGATGTATTCTGGGAAAATGAAAGCAAAACGCATTGTGTAATGTTGAAGTAGCGTCCATTGTCACACTTTTCACGATTTTCTAATGTACTGGTATATTTTATTCTTTGAACTCAGAGCTTCAACTGGGAATGTCTGGCCATCAGTCTGGAGACCTCAAGTCTCTCAGAGAGTTTCTCTGATCTTCTTCTGGAGGTTGGGAAACTGTGACCACGTTCAGGGCCTTTTCTGAAACAGCTTTCAGGAGCTGTGACCTGAAGGTAGTTTTCGTCGGTCATAGCAGCAACCAAGGCTGCAGTAATGGAAGCCATCAAGCTTCCATTACTGCTTGATGGAAGCAGTAATGGAAGCTTCCATCGACCAACAACCAAAGTTGTTGGTCGACTTTTCCAACAAAAGAGCCGGAGCAACATTAACCAAAACGAACAAGGCTGCCACTTGTCTCCGATCGTGTTTATGAATGGGATCCCAAGGCAGTCATGGAGTGGCTGATGCCAGGGTGGAAACCTCATCGTAGTAGCTTAAAATAGATTAAAGGAAACTGAGGCATGTCTTTTACCTTTGAACAAGCTTTGGTTAAAATGTTGACAACTAAACCTGGAAATATTAGGTCTGGATTTTACAGAAAAAAACAAAACAAACCATCATCACACATTGCACATCTTAAATGCAACCATCTACCCAAACAAAAAAAATTATTAAATCGCAATACAATTTGTACACAATTTTTTGTGTTAGTATACATTCTGAAAAAGTAAAAAAAAAGAAAAAGCAAACTGGTCAGGTTTTCTAAACCATAAGGTCATTTTGGGATTACCATTTTTCTAACATTTATTTCTGTTGAGTTGGAATCGTCATGCAACTTGTTGAACACAATCTGCTTTGCACACGTTTTACTTTCCAGTTGACCCCCCAATTAGTGTGCTCATTAATATCTGTACGATGACATTATTGTGAAAAAGTTGAGGCATTGGCGTGAATTAATATATTTTTTTTTGTATCAAAGTTGTTTAAGGAGGCAGAAGTCCTCTTTTGGTCAAGCCCAACCTTGACTAACTATAAGCTCAGCCCTCCAGTAAGAACCATTTTCTATTATTGCAGGTAAAGTACTGACTGCTGGAAACAACTCCACACAATCACTGTGCATAAAATTACATTTATGTACATTTCATTTTTTAAATATCAAAAGCCTTGATAATGAGATAGTACTTTACTGAGTTCTCCACATTTTATACAGTCTGTATATAAACAGCAACGTAGATAAGAACAAAGCAGAGCTTTTTAGTGATTCCACATTGGAACTGGAACATCGGATTTTCAGAGGTAGACTCTCTTGTAATAATCTTTTCAGTGTTTTATCCATTCTCCTTCACATTCTCCCTTGACCTTACCAGGTTGCCATCCTGCTGTTCTCCTGCTTCACCCAACCCCCAGCCCAGAAAACTGATACTACTCGACTCGTACTGCGTGTCATATTCTTTGTGGATGTGTGTAAAACTGCCTATTTAATTAATTCCCAAGCAGGCAGTTCCTTATGAACCAAACCACACAGTAAGGCAAGCAGAAAGGAATCGTTGCCTTGACTTTCTTATAGAAACACAAGCGGTTCGATGCCTCTACTTATGCCAGCCTGAAACGTAACGCACAACTCCTATGTCCAACCAGTGTGATTCAAATTAAGCAAAAATAAGCTTCCTGCAAGTAAACATAGAGAATCGAGAATTTTATCACATTCAGTTGCACGTTTCTTTGAATCTGAGGATGTTTTTTTTAATAACTACTTAGAGGGTCTTTTTCTGATGCTTTACATGATGTTTTCAATTTTACATCTATGAAGACTCTTAATTTTAATTTTGCTTTATCTTTTACTTTGTGTGACTTTACATGCTTCCATTTTTCCTCATTCTTTGCTGCTGGTACAATGAGTTTCCCCACTGAGAGATAAAGAAGGTTATTTCTATTCTATTCTATTCTATTCTATTCTATTCTATTCTATTCTATTCTATTCTACTCTATGATCTCGGTGGTCATTACACTACAAGTCCTACAAATATATTCATGTACGCGTGTCTCTTTGCTCTATTGGGATTTTGTGAAACCAACTCAAAGTAACAAAGAAATGGAAGGAAAATTATTCATATTTTTTTTAAAGAAATCTTTTACAACTAAAAACTTTAAAAAATGTTGAGTTAATTTGTGTGAACAAGCAGCAGCATGAAAATCGAGGAGAACAACAGAAATGGTCAGGAAGGAAGTTGTAGACAAGATTTTAAATCAGAATTATTTAGAAAACTCCAGAAATTTTGAACGTCTTACAAAGATCCATTAGGGCAGCAAGATATGTCACAAATCATTATAGCAATGTCAAGATATGCATCATTCAATCATTTAATACCTCTATGATATTTTGTGATAATTTTTCAATGCAGTACAATAAGCAATAAGTTTTAGAAGGTACAGAAGGTGAAAGGTCACACAGTCGTTAAAATATCTAAGTTGTCTAACGTTTATTGGCATAAGTGCCAATAAAACGTTTTAGTTCTGTTTATTACCATTAAGGTGATAAACATCACAAACACTTTAAACATTTTTCAGTGTACTATCCTCACTATGAAACACAAGCAGTCACAAGTAAAGGAAACACAAATGGGACAACCTTCTAGGGACCTTTACTCAAAACCAGACCAGAACATTCCCAATAATTAAAATTGAAAAAAATAAAAATAAAAAAAACTGTGCCAAATATCCTGATGTTGTTGCTGAGACTATACTGAAAAACAGGAAACAAGTGTCCCTTAAAAAAACTTTTCACCCAGTTAATAAAGAGTTTAGATCCCATTGCATCATTCTGCCACCACCATGTTTTACTTTGGTCAGGGTGTTTTTAAGAGTTAAGCTTGTACCTCACTCAGGGTTTTGTTTTTTTTTTTACCTCTCTGTGCATCTGCAAACAATGAAAATCTTTTATGCCCTGTGTATAAATCTCCAGAGTTAGTTAAGCTTTATTTTTCCTCTCTAACAAAACCTATAAAAATACCGAGCTTCATCATTAAGAAAAAGTCACTGGTGTACCACAAGCCCAAGCCACAAGCTTTTTCTTTTAATATCACCCATCAGATACTTATATGTGGATCAATGCAAAATGTGTCTCTGATTAAAGTAACTTCTTCCACATGCTTAGAGGTTCTAGAAAAAGATTATCTGTAATTCCCTCCATACCTGCTTTCTGAGTTTTGTTGATCGGCCTTTGGTGCCCAGACTTGTTTTGGTGCCATTTTCTCTCCAAGTTAAAAAAAAAATAAAAGGATTTGATGGAGCTGTTAAATGTGCTATTTAACTTTTAATATTTATTACAGCTCACCCATAATTCATTGTGTTCTTTGTTTACTTGGCATCAGTTGTAATATAAGCAGTAAGTAGTCAACGTGAATATTTTAATGTCTGTTTTCTGGTTGTTATGTTATCTTAATATATACAGAGGTTGTATTTAGAAACTGGGTTTTAAAGAAAGTAGCATGGAAATGTTTCTGCACCGTATGCTTCATTCTGTTTTCCTTTCCATTTTGCATACGGTTTGGAGTATATTATTTAACTCCATTAAATGATATATGTGCATTCGATTTAAAGCTGAAAGAAGTGAACGGGGAATCGTATTTTACGAGCCGTCTGGTCCTTTGTATGTAGGAAAAGAGCCTGTGTTGTAGATACGACAGTAGAATCGGTCCATTGTGGACTAATGTTTCCTAATGGAAGCTGATTTTTAACATCACCATTAACACTGACCAATACATGGATTTATTACTGTAACCTCGCCAATGGAAGTATGTCATTTTATCTCTAACCCTAATGTTTTTCCAAATGCAGCCCAGCTATGAATCTAAAAAAAAAAAAGAAAGAAAAGAGCAAACAACAGTGTTATTTCATGTTTCTTTCACCATCAAAACACAGAATCCAATCTGAATATTTTAAAAACATGAAGCACTTTTGGCATAACAAGCAGTTCCCTGCAAGCCAGTATGTGTAATTTTCAAAAGTTTTTTTTTTTTTTCTTTCTCAATTAATTTTAATTCACCTTTGTTTTATTTTTGAAAAAGTCTTTGGGTGCACAAGGTTTAAAACTCAACTCTACATAGTAATATCTAAAAACGCTCCCTGGCAATTTGAGGAGAAATCACACACTTCTTCTTAGCAGAACTGATGGAGCCTTTTTTAAACCATCCAGTTTCAAGGCACCTGGTTTAGCTCTTCAGCATATTCAGCACATTTTCTATATTCCGTGTTTTCTACATTAGTAATCAGCCACTAAAGATCTGCATGGTTTATTAATTTCAAAACCAGTTTCACAGTGCGTTTGGGATCATTGTCCTGATCAAAGCTTGCTCAGGTCCATTTGGTGCCTTAGGCAAACTTATAACAAATAAATAATAAGATAATTCTGAGTAGCAGAATATCACAGAAAATTGATTCTGTCTATTTTGTGATTTAGTTCCAGCGTTTCCATTTAATCTGGATGACTGAGTAGTTTCTAAATAAGAGGAGCAGAAGACAGCAATAAACACTGAATGACAGCAAAACTAAGCTTAGGTCTCCATGAAATAATAGTTAAAGTTATATAATTTCTGGGAGGTTGTATCAAGCGGAAACAAAATGTAGATAAAATTCATTTTGTGTAATCACATGTTTGATAATGTTTTGAAGGCTTAAATTTAACTTGGCATCACTTCTGTTCATCTGGTTTCAGATTTTTCAGGAAGAAAACTTGACTTTGACATTTACATCTGATTTGAGAAATACAACTCAGTAGATGGCATGAAGTTTTTTTTTTTAAACAAAAAACTTGTGGTTTTAAAACCACCAGTCATTTATTAACTTTAGCTTGTAGGGACAACTTAACCTGGCAGTGGATGGCAGTGTAAGAGTTTGTACGGTCCAGTTTAGGGGGTCTTCCACAATTATTTTCAGTACATCCAATGAAAATGGATAAATAAATACAAGTCATGAGAAAAGAACACATTTTTTTATCCACATACACTGGGTAATTTTTAATTAGATATTTGCGCGCCAACTTTGATATAAGATGGGCTAAAATCACCTTTGCCTCCCACAAGAAATGTTTAAAAATGTTTCTGTACGCAAACAAATGTTTAGTTTAAGTAGAGAGCAATAGGAAACAGTGCCAGTCACGGCAAAGGATTAAAATTATTTTATGTATTTATTTTGAAGTCTTTAAGCAGCTCCAGAAGCTCTTATCAGCACAGGATTTGATGGCTAGAAAAAAAAGTATTTTTTTTTCCTCCAAACTTGGCAGAGGGCATTTTATCAAACATTGAATATCTTTGAAAACGTTTGTCTAGTTTTTATTAACCTGTGTGCATTAGAGTAAAACTACATTATGCTCAAGTTCTTTAAAATTGATATTTTGTGTTCCACAATCACGGCTCCCTAAAATCACGATTAAAGCTCCAAATTATGATCACTCATTATCATGAGTCTATGTGCCATAAATCTCTGGCCAGCAGAGTCTATTGTCTAGTAAAAAAACAAGGAATACTAAAATAACAACCTTGAAATCTAAGAAACTGAGTTTTACTTTGTTGCCCCTGTGAAACGGTTTATTGTCAGGGAACGATTTTAAATAAATGTTCCCCTGAGAATCGCTTCTACCTTTCTGGGTGGTTGTTTCTGGTTTTTTCATTTTGGCTGTCAGCTGAATGATTTTCTTTCTTTTTTTTTCACCAAAAGAAAAAGTTAGAACAGGTCAACTTGCAAAACACTTCAGACTGAATGATTCATTGGAGGCTCAAGTCTGGTTTGCACTATTTATATACTGGTTTTGCCGTTCTGTGAGTCATGCCTGCTTCTAGTTACAGTCTTTTTCAGAGGTCTTATGCCGGCAGTGACCAGTGTTCACCGTGGAGCTCGATCATCAGCCTGCAGAAGAAGCTGCAAGGTGCCATGACACACTATAATAGCAGATACTCATGAGAGCTGAATCTGTTAAGTCTTGATTCTGCATCACTTTGGCAGAGGTTGTTTACAGAAGACAAGAATATGTGTGTTTGTGTGAGTGCATTTGTCAGCGTGCAAATATGTGTGTTCCTTTGAGTCACTCCTCTTTTTTTTCTTTTTTTTCCCCCGCTGAAATAAATATGCAGAGCACATCAACTGTTTGTGCTTAGGCAAAATAGATGGCAGTGCTGGTGAGCAAAACATCTATCATTTCTGCCTCTGATTAATAGTTGTCCTGGGGATGGCTTTTCTGCAGAGGGAGAGGGAGGAGAGGACGAGGCGGGGGAATAACTGTGGAAAAAAAAAAGACAAAAAAAGCAGAAAACAGCAGTGGAGAAAGAGTGAAAGGGAGGTGATGTGGAGAGGATGCCTCCTGGTTACTGATCTGAAATGGTTAAACGGAGAGAACTCGGAGAGCTAAGAAATGTCTGCAGATGTCTCCTGTTGTGTTGCAATTGTGTGTTAAACCGTTTTCTTTCTCTAAACAAAGCAAGACAAAGGGATCATGTCATGGTTGGGAAATCAAAATGGTGAATCAAAAACCACAGATGATTACAAAGCTTGATGGTGTGGAAATTTTTGTTTACCGAAATCTTAAACGCTGTCTTTAACTATCAATGCCCTGCCAGTGAATTATTAAATTCATTTTCCTGTGCTGTTCCATGACTAACGTTTTCTCTGTCGATTTAAGCACAATTGCAAGGCTGTTGTTTGTCATGTAGTTGCTAAATTATAAACTGGACTCAACAGAACTAATCACGTGTTCGCTAACAAGCCCCTATAAAAAGTGCTCTTTGTCATGAAACAGTTTTTTTTTTATCAAGGATTATATTTTAAGTCTTATTAGTTTAAAGTTCTTGTTTTCTTCTGTTTGTCGGAAATGAGTGGTTTCTTGAGTATTAGCACAGAAAGATAATTGAATGATCAGATTACTAATCGATGTCAATTTAAACAGAATAGTAACCCAACAATTCAAACAATTCATAATTTTTTACTCTAAAGTGTTTCTAATGTATAATTTGACAAACTATGTTGATGTAAAACCTATAAACTGGACGATCAGCGGATGTTTTCAACCGTCTAAGTATGAAATGTATTGATTTAGAAGTGGGGATTAATTTGGATTTATATTGACTGATAAGGTACACATTGCCATGCTTCAATTCAAGTTAGGATTTGTTATTAACTTTATTTATAAAACCTTACAAGTCCCATTTGTCTGTTGCCAGGTTGGATGAACTCGGTTCAACTATGAAGAACCTGGATTTCCTCAACCTTATCAAGCAACCTGGAGGTTTGTGGATGGCAGCTAATTGCCCAGCTAGGAGTATGAAATCCCAGCCTGAACTCGTTCTCTGGTCTGGTAGGAGGCTGATACAGATTAGCCTCCCATCTCATTAAACTTGCTTTGGCCATATAAAAAAGAAACAGCTTCCAACACACTGGAGTCTTCAGACCACACTTCCTCATTCTTGAACTCACGTAAACTCTATAAACTCACACTTGGGAAAAGTTAGTTGTGTTAAAGACATGGATTGTTTAGCTGTTGTTCTTGGACATTATTGTTTATTGTTTATTGTAATACATGGTGCCATGTATTTCAGTCTTTTTCATGAATTACTGTTCTCCAACTCCAGCAGGTGAATCTAATCTTCTGTGTTTCAGCCTTTTTTTAACAGTGTAGCTGTGTAAGAAAGCTAACTGGGTTCTACAATTGTTTCATAAGAAAAATTTGAAGATACATTTAAAATAAAGTCCTTGCTGTCTCTCTGAAGTTCCTGTCATGATCGCTCTCTGTTCTGGTGTTCTGCTCCCCTTGTGAATCTCGTGTCACACTCTTGTGAATGAGACTTTTCACACCCCCGCTCCCTTCCAGGTCACAGGTCAACAATTATCTACCGCCAGAAAAAACGTTTAATTCCCAAGTTTATTAAATATGTCAACAATGGAAGACTTGTTCATCCAACCTTAGATGTTGGAGCCAAAGTCTGACCCAGAGCAGGGGAACGAAGATGACGAACCTGCAGAACCACGCATTCAAATGAATGCATGGCAATGGTGTTAATACTGTATTTACTCCATCTACAGCCACACCAACTACCTACAGTATGGAGCGTAGTTTAGTGCTTATGTGCTCCGAGCAAACAAACTTTCCCCACTGATGTAGGTACACATCCGAGAGACATAAAATTTAATCAGACACTTTGAAGAGTCTCTGATGTAAGGAATCCTGTGCTGCACACGAAAACCGAACACTTTGTCTTGTCGACTTACAACCTCAGCATAGCTGAACTTTGACTACAAAATCACCGTGAGGACAAAAGATGGCAGATTCACAAAGCTAATTAGCCATAAGTCATGACCTTGTTGAGCAGTTCCACAGCCAATGCAGTGACGTCATAGACAAGAAAACATTGGGCAATAGAGAAAAATGAACAGACTGAAAAATATAACCCAAACAGAATATAAAGATATCTATTTATCACCGGGAGAGAATAAATCTAAAAATTTCACACTTACAGACACTCAAAGTGGCTAAAAAAGTGGCTTTTGCATGATGTGTCACCTTTAAATAGGCCATCTCACCATCAACAGAAGGCTGCCATTGTTCTATCTGCATTTTGGTCCATTCCCAAAACACATGGCAGACAGTTACAACTTTTGCAAATATTGAATAGAACAGGATATTTAAGATAATAATCAATATAGAAATAAGAATAATTATTAATAAACAGCACAATTTCAACAAGGCTTCTCGGCGCTTAGCTGCTCTGGCCTAATAATAAAGATACATTTTTTTTATCACTTTTTTATTTGTCTGGTAAAGTAAGGATTGTTTACCTTTTGGAAAGCCACAAAATGAATCTACTTTGCCAGTAAGTCATTAAAATCAGATGTTTTCATATATTAGTAACATACAACAAGCTGCTACAGTTGAAGGCAGATTCAGATCGACGGGCCTTAGAATATGTCACTTCTCACTAAAATTACATCTAACAAATATTTTCTGGAAAGTGATTACCTTGTACTTCAAAACTGATGAAATGTTGTTTTGCATCCTTGGTTCATTTGATATGCAGGGATATGAATATGAAAATTAGCCCCGCCTCGCCCGTCTCCTGCTCGTCTGCGACCCTCCCCCACTCTTCCTCATCCTTTGTAAGCAGACATCATCCCAATCACTCACAGTCCTGGTGTCACACATTATCTCTGGGTAAAGTCAAAGAGTCAGGTTCAAGGGTCGTCCACAGTTGATTTTATACTTGACATTCACAGATTCTTCCAGACAAATTGTGGCCACATCTAAAAGTGCCGCAAGCTGGAACATGTGTAGATTGTGAAAAAAAATAAAAAAATCCTGCATATATTCAAACGTGTACTGCTTTAACGTCATCTAGTGGTAATATGTAACTACTAAAATGTTCAGTTTTTTTTTCTGATGATTTTCATTTTGAATTTTATCCACTTAGATGCCACATAAAGTTCCCGCTGAAATACAAAGAATGTCGCAAGCTTCATTTCTTGAGGGCAGAAGTCCAGCAGTCTTCATACATATGAAGAATAGACATATGTTGCAGGACAGAAGCATTCAAGGGTCAGAATTAGATTGCTGTTATAACATATTAATAATTAATTAATAACCACAATTATTTATGTTCACTAAAATAGCGTAATTAAAATATGTATTTGTTCTTACTATACAAATAATGTTAAGTTTAACATTATTTTGTTAACATTATTTTGTCTCCAAACAGCGTATCGTAGAAATTGGTGACTGAACATGTAACTAAAGAATTTTAATTGGTTTTAAGCTTTTCATCAGAAAAAAGAAAGACTGTGTTGAGCTACAATTATTTCCCTTAAACCGAGACGACAGGACTCTGGCTGCATTACTCCAAAGATCACGTCCAGCTAGAAGAAACATATCAGATTTAACATTATGTTAAATCTAAATCTGAATGTATGAGTTCACATGAAGCCCACCTCCAAACTTGACCTGAATGAGTTGTTTTTTCACACCTGATCCTGTTAAAAAAATACTTGTTGTATCCAAGAGGAGAACTTAAAACCAATCAAGTGCCACCAAGTACAAAATTTATACCAAGTTGAAATGTGTCTAACTCGGTGACAGTATCAGTACAAATCAGTATTAAAATGAAATTACAACTGCTTTGAATTCCTTCATATTACTTGTGTTGTGAGGCATTCACAGATATATTTCATGTGGCCTGATGTCACCATTGAAGTTGTTTCTTTTAATATCTTCATCGTGTAAATTGCAAGCCAAAGGGTTGATTACACATTTATTTATGTCCACATGTATGTGTGAGGAGCGGTATGCCATCTCTGGAAAAGACGCGGTTGAGTGCAGACAAAGAAAACAGTGCTGCTGAAGTAAAGTAGCCTTCATCTCTGCTGCCTGACACCGGTCACTGTTCTTGTCCTGTGAGTGATTTTCTACATGTGTCGATGTGGAAAAAAAAAATGGTGCAAGATAATGAATATGTAGGTCACATCAACTGACTTTTTCTGGAAAGCTTAACACCCCCCCTTTCTCCCTCCATGCAGCATAAACACATCCACTAACACACAGTTAGAAATACAGCAACCCTGATGTCTTAAATCAGCCATTTTTAGTTACTGTAGCTAAATCCGAGGAGATAGACAGCGTGAGGAAGGGATGCTACAGTCCTAAAACAGACTACACGCCCACAGACTGTACAGTCTCCCCAGGAAACCAAAAAAAAAAAAAAAAGCGCTAGTAAGCGTGCTGCAGAGCCTTCCTCTCAGTGTGGAGCCTGCAGTGGCATTCCCCTGGCATCCTGCGGTGTTGGCTCATTTTGATGTTTCTCTTTTCTGTGGAGTTAACTGCTCTCATTCAAACTTTTGAGTTTTTTATTTTTTTATTTTTTTTACAGTCTTGTTTAAATCGGTTGTAAAGTTCACATAGGGGAAACAGGCTTCCTTGGGTTTATGCATCAGGATGTTAAGAGCAAAGAATAGAAACAAGAGATCCAAACAATACTTCATTCATAAGTCTACCAACAAGAATGCCAGAATGAAATTTTGCATCCCTCCGTGCCTAACTTGGGAACCTAAAATATTTGGTATGTTTCGCATTAAAGTGTCTCCTGATTTTATGTTGTTTTTTTTTTTGTTTTTTGTTTTTTGTCTCTCACCCTCTCTTTTTAAATCTTCTTCCTCCTACAATTTTTTCCAGTTTGCCAGTGTGGGTGTACAGAATAAATGTTTACTTTCTGTGTGGTATTATTCATATCAGCACCACCCCCACCTCTCCTCTGACAGAATCACAATCCAGCCTGCCCACCCTCCAACCCACTAGCCATCTTCCTTGCGTTACATGATGACATGCACCTCCAGCTACCATGTTGTCTTCTGTCCTCCTGGTGACCCTGCCTCTATATGCAGGGTATCCAGAATGGACAACAAGCAGGGAGTTTGTTGGTGTGTCTTTTATAAAAGACACACCAACGTTATAAAGTGATAATGTGATTGATGCTCACGGTATCAGCATCAATCCAATACTATAGACTGTACAGCAATATATGCACCAGTGCTACGAAATTTACATTCAAGATGTCTCAGAAAATGCGATAAATATCACCGTAAGCTCATAAAGACTCTTATAAATATGGAAACCATCTGTATGCACTGATGATGTTTCACTCAACTCTGCATACTGATTGCTTAGAAGTGCTTCAACTGATGGCTCCAATTTAACCATTATGGGTCAACTACTAAGACGGTAAGTTGAATCCTGAATTGAAAAAAATCAAGATGCTGACTTCATGGGAAAAGTAACCAACCCACAGAAACAATAAACAACTGAATTTAACCCCTTTCATCTCAATTTGCACAAATTAAATAAGGTCACATCAAAAGCAAAATACATTCTTCAAAGGTCACACTAGTGTTTTGATGCGAGTGTGGCTCAAATATATCGCCTATTCCTATTTTAAGCTATGCAGATGGTCAGTCTGCGTTGATTACAGTTCCCTCCCCTCAGCATGCTGAATGCATGGAGTGGCTCCAACTTAGGTTAGCGTGAAATAAAAATGCTGTAGGAAAGTATTTTCCTCCTCACAACCCTTCCCAAGAGCGCCCAGACTAACAAAGCTGCCCAAATAGCGCATCAATGACTCAAATGTGATCTCACAAAAGAAAGAACAACATCTAAAGCACTGCAGGTGTCTGCTAAGAGTCGTGGGAAAGTCCCCTACATTTTGAACTGGTTTTGGCTGACAAACAATACAAGAAAATGTGCTACCATGAAAAGATGTACACTGCCTTGATCAGGCTGATGAGGTTCACCTGTTGGTGTGATGCACAACAAAGACAGTTCACAGTGAACATATATGCTTGTGGTTTTTCTTTTTTCTTTCTTTCTTTTTTTTTTTGAAGAAAACCACTTGCAGCCAAACAAAAGATTTTGCCCTAAGGAAAAAATCCGGATATTTTGAAAAATAAACCGAATAGAAAATCTGACACTGAGCTGGCAGCCGAAGGAGGCACTGGACTGAGTTGTTAGGGGCAACCAGGAGAGAAGTTGCTTTCTAAATGGATTAGGAATATGGAGGTCCAGGTGAGCTAACTGTATTGTTGTTTTTCAGACCTGGATCAGTCCTCCTCCACAATTTATTACTTTTCATGCCTGTTCCCATACAAGAAATTAAGTTCAGTTAAGGTTATTGTTCATGATTCAGCTCAAGAAACAGATATTATAT